CATGCTTCTCTTCTAAACTGGTGATGCAGCCATTTTGGTCATACTACCTTTATATAATCAATCTAAACTGAATGTGGGACTTTGAAATTTCCTAGCAGAGCTCTGCCGTGGACTCAGCTGGTGGGCTTATTTTGGGTATTCTACTCTCACCTGTTAACTTCTTTTTTCTTGGATGGTAATCACTGATGGGCACTCTACCCATTAGGAAATAATTAATGTTAACTTTCCCATTCTGAATTTTTTGTGGGGACAGTTTCTTCGGTAATTAATATTTCTTTAATATTTACCATTTCTCTTAATTTGAAATTCCAGAAGAAGAGATAGTTCCTATTCAGTGTTTGCTGTGACATCATTAAATGTATCAAAACTGATTCCTGAAATCTAGAAAATGGGCAGTTTTTTTTAATCCTCTGTGTTTTGGTACTTCTTTGATCACTTTCTTTTAAAACCTCCAACATGAATGCTAGATTGGTGCTTTCTTCCAAATTTACTTAAGATCAGTTTATTCCATGTCTTTTTCATTTTTACAGTCTTTTCCTGTAAATAGTCATAAGCTTACATTTCTTGAAGATTGTATCTTAAATGTCTGTGAGGATATGTTTATCTTCACTTGTCTGTACAGACAGGTTGATTAATATAATTTTGAAACATTGGCAATTACCATTTTAAAATTTGTAAATGTAGTCAGCTCCTCTTAAGGCAGATTAATTTATGATTTTAAATGCGGAATGAAAGGACTGTCATGACGAAGGGCGGAAAAGAAATCTCCCTGAGCTGTTAAATATTTTGCCTTTTAAAATCCTGTTTTTCCTTAGCCTAACAATACTCTCATACCTGCATTATCTAGGTATAGAAACACACTGGTTTCTCAAGTTTGCTATTGTTGAGCTTCCTAGTTGCCATTGCTTTACAGTTTTTTGTTTATCAGTTATAGCCAAGTTCATTTCAATATCCTATTTTTAGCATTATTAGCTAAACAGTGCATTAAAAGGAGGAAGTGATTCTAGAGAAAGTAATATGTTGCTCATGTAGGTCTTTATTCATGGAAAGAACTTGGCTGGCTGGCTTATTAACTAAAGAATTTGTAGAGGAAAAAATCTTATACTTTAAACAACATTTAAAGTATTTTGCATATTATAAATAAATCTTTATCTCACATTGGATTCGTTTTTGGAATTTCAAATATCCCAGACAATTTTGAAATAAATCATAGCCCTGGAAATATTTGAAGATAGTTTGGCAGATACTGCAGGTGCATTTTGTATATCAGTGACACATTTTCTGAGTGCACCAAAGAGATTCTGATGTATAATATGATATTCTTACAATTCAGCATTCAAATTAAAATTCATCAATGTAGGTTCAGATTTAACCAGCTGATTTCATGTTTATTATAATGGGAACTCAGATCATTTATTATTTGTTACACATTGAATTCAATTGTCAATAGAAATATTTCTCCCTGTTATATAAAAATATTTTTAAATATTAAGGCACATATTATGATATAATCAGTTGTCATACTTCATAAATGATAGCTTTTTTTTTGCAAAACTAAAACACAATAGTAATTAACCTTGTTGATATTAGACTAGTTGGAAATAATTCAAGTTATTAGAAGGTTTTCTCCTTTGCTTTGAACAGTATTATGATATTTTATTAGGGTAACCAGGAAGCTAAGTATTATCATGGTTTATTTTTGAATTGATGTTGATTTTTCTAAGAGTTGGGAATTGGGTTTGCCCTAAAAATAAACATTAAAGATGGAGATCATTGCCTATGAACAGTTTTCAAAAGATCCAGCTATTTCTGTGTTTGTTTAGTTTCCACTTTTAAATTCAAACTCAGAATGTTGAATTTAAACTCTGATTATATGCACTGCATCCTGTTAACAAAAATTAGGTGGTAGCCTGATTATCTGATGCAAAAGTCTTCTGTTGCCATTCAGGAATGCTGTTATAGAGCAGTAGAAGGCTATATAATTTCATCTTGCATTTATAGATGTTTTTGTTCTAACTAGCAGATTTTGTTAAATTAGTCAACTAAGGGCTAGTTATAGAATATTATAGAATATTTCGTCATTGTGAGTGGGTACTGAAATTCCACATCAGAAATATTAACCTGTCCATATTTAAAGCCTGTTATCAGTTCTCACTTCATAAATTCACACTGAAACAACCACTTTATCAAAGTAAAATAATATTCACGTTCTGTCTCTGAAAACAGTTCTGGTTTATAACTTAAGAAACACTGCCATAATAGCGGTAGGACTAATTTTTTTGCAACTTTTTAAAAGGATCTTTTCTCTTTGACTGTAATATACAGAATACCATCCTGCAGAACAGAGAAGTATATCTGCCTTTGTTGAAATAGATGTAAGATGAAAAAAATGATAAGGGATTCCATTGTGCTGTATTAGCTGCAAAACAATGTTATCCCAGTAAACTATTAAGAGCATCTGCAATCTACTCCAGTGCATACATTGGATATGCGTACTGTGTCACAGTAGTTCAATTTTTGGGGAACTATATGACTGTTTCTTAGTGAGGTACTTTATTTTTGGGCAACCATGGGATAAACTGTTGGATGTTGGTCTTGTGACTTGACTGGTAACTGTGTATAATTGTTTCAGATTAGCTCTGCATTGCCGTCCTGGTTTCATGTCTCTCTTAGGTGCCATTTTGTCACAAGTGCCTTCCACCATCATGTGCTTGAATGGCAAATCCTAATGTTTGCACAGGTACAAAAGAAAAAGGAAAGCAAAGAAAATCTTAGGAGAGGGATTTCCAAGCTAATAAGGACAAATATACTTAATAGGCATGAAATGATGCTGAACTCTGGGTGGAAGGCATAGAAAAATGGGGAATGAGGAAAATGGCAAATGGAGTGTCTGGAAACATGAACAGTGAGTACTCCAACCTTGTTGCAGGTTCCATTTGTATCTGCTATTTGCATCAGTCTTTTACATAAGCAGTGTTTTATTTCAAATGAGTCCATATGTAGCTCCGTATCTCATTTGATACAATTCCCTTCTCCCCTCCCATCATTTTTACATTTACATAAACTGTCCCTTGCTTGATCACTGTTCCTGATATATTGTATATTTAATATGTTGAAAGATGTTCTTGTGAAGGAGTTCGCTTCATTTGAAGCTTGGCAGAATAATGCTGTTTAAACATGTATTAATTATTTCGGTATGTGTAGAAATGTGATCAAAACGCAGTTAAAATGATTATAGGCCTTAGTGATATTTTGCATTGTATTTTGGCTTGTATCAGTCACGAGTGAGCTTCATTTGTTACAGGAATACATACAGTAGAAGTTGTAAATACGCTGAATTAAAAGAAAAAGACAAAATGTTCCGCCCTTATGAATTTGAAGTAACAATAAACTGATCAATCAAAATAAAATCTTTATGACGGGAAATTTGTGTTTTCTTTAACAATGTATATACAATTATAATAGTAAAAATATGAAACAGCAAGAAAATACATATAATTTCAGCCTCCTATGCAGACAGTCCCAGCTTTGCTCCCATAGGGAAAATACAGAATTCCTTTCATATGCATATGTTTGTTTAAGAAAATGTGTTTTAGGTAGGGGTTAATTCAAACTTGTGTTTTATCACAGAAGTCAGATTGTCAAATGTAGTTTTTTGGGAAATAAGTAATTTATTCCAAAGCTCAAGTTCTTTTAACATTCTACTTTTATTATATATTGCAATAGATATATAATGGCAACTAGGTTTCTAAACAGCAGATTAAACCTTGTATGTACAAAATCATATTCATCAGCCTTTCTGTTATTTTCATAAAAAACCAACTCATCTTCTCATAACCTGGCAAGGTAGTGGAACCTCTGTTTCTGAAGTCTCCTGTTGATAACAGTATTATTAGTTTTCATTATAGGCTGCTTAAAAGGCTTCTGTTGATGATCACTCTGATATTAGGTGTAATCTGATATTATTGAAAAAACTGGGGGAAGCTTATAATCAGGTACCTGTTGGTCTGTGGAGTTCCTTGATTAGGGTATTGCTTTCTGCTTGAACTACCAAGGAAGAAATCACACCCCTACCAACATAGCAAGTAAGTTGCTGTATATCAGGGGTGTCAAACTCGCAACGTCATGTGACATGTAGCGACGTGTCGTGACTTTTTTCCCCCATTGCCAGCAACGGGATGGGCGTGGTTTCGCTATGATGCATCCGGCCTACGGGCCGGCAGTTTGACACCCCTGCTGTATATAAACAGGGAGAAAACCCCATACTCACCAGCACTGTTGCCACAGACGTGTTTAGTCATCTGCATGATTCTGGGTGGCAAAAAATGATTATTTCATACAATATGTGTTACAAGTCAGTAGCAGAATTTCTTGTGACTCTGCACTCTGCTGGTTCGCTTGTCAGTTGACAGAGCTTGAGGGCAGATAATTATTGCTCATTATTTGAGTTTGTTTGCTTTGCTTCCTTGTGGGAATTTTCCTTTTTCATACTGAGTACACAGGAACAAGCAGGTGTTGAGAAATTGGATGCACTGGGGGAAAAGGTACAACAAGAATACTCCCCTGTAAATTAATCAGTTACTTTTTTTTCCAGATTGTGTTGAGAAGGGTTTTGTTTTTTGTTTTTCCCCCCCTGTTTTGGAATCACAAATATGTGTCATGATGATGCTGTGGATGTTCCTAAGTTGAGTTAAAGAGAGCAAATCCACACTGACATCTCATGGCCCAGGGTTGCCATTATCTTTATTGCTTTTAAAAAAACATATCACTCTTCCAGCTTTCATTGGCAAGACATTGGGTGGGCCTCAAGCATTAGCCATGTCCAAACCGTGTCACTGGTCTTTTTGCAAGCAAATGTTATGTGGCAGTTTTTAGTTTGGTGTGGAACTGAAAATGGCATTGGAATATTTAAGCATGTGATTAAGCTAGCTTTGTTGCTTTTCTATTTGGGGCTCCTTACTTTGTGCTTTATGCTGTGACCTGTAGCATTTCTGTCCTAGGTGATGATAAGTATGGGCGGAAAGTAATTTTGTTCAGTGCCTGTCGGATGCCTCCTAGCTATCAGCTCGATCACGTGAAGCTGCTAAGGTGAGTGTTGCTCTACCTGGCTTGTTTAATCTTTGAATTTCCCCAAATGCTTCTCGTTCAAGAAGCTTCTTCAGTTCTAACTCATTGGTGGGGAATGGAAGGATTTATATTTTTTGTAGTCATCTGGTCGTTAGTACTCTGAGGGCTGGCCATTAGCTCTCAGAGAAGAATATAAATCCTTCCATTCCCTACCATTCAGTTAGAACTGAAGAAATTCCTTGGATGAGAAGTGAAATGTTTTCAAAGAAAAAAACCAAAAAAGTCCAGTTGCCTTTTGGAAAAAGCACCTTTAATGTTTTTGAACAACTGTAAAGGGAAAATTCTTTAAACACTCATAGTTCATTTGTCAGATATTCACAGTCACATTTTAGAATCCATGTCTGTCTTTATATATAGAAACTAAATAGTTCTTATTTTGACTAAGTACTGATAAAATTACTGACCACTCATATCTCTTTCTTCAGCTATTTAAAGTATACATTGGACCAGTATGTGGAGAGTGACTACACCCTAATATATCTGCATCATGGTCTGACCAGTGAAAACAAACCATCTTTAGGTTGGCTGCGGGATGCCTACCGGGAATTTGATCGCAAGTGAGTTACTATGGTTTTGGATTTTAAAAGAGTTAAGATGGTCTGGATAAGGATAAAAGAAATAAAAATGAGAGTATAATATAGTTTTATAGCCTTCTTGGTGAGAGATTTAGGTTGATTCTCTGTTTTTCTTATAGCAAATCAAGTTCCTTTCAGTTAAGAAATATTTTATATACATCATAATTCTTTGTTTTTCAGATACAAAAAGAACATCAAAGCATTGTTCATTGTGCATCCAACTATCTTCATCAAGACATTGCTGATTCTCTTTAAGCCCTTGATCAGGTATGAAAACGTGAAGATGCTTTGTTGGTATAGTATAGATGTAATATAAAATGATTAGGAAGTAAAGCATGTCTTCAGTGCTTTTTTTAAGTAGGCTTACCATAATAATTTGTAATTTAAAAAATTATATTGTTTTTATCTTCTTTCCAGGAGTTTGAGGATGCATTATTTCTCCATTTTTTCCTTACAAAAATGGATGAATTAGTGTTATATATTTTGGTTTTTAGCAAAGCATTTGATCGGGTGTGTCATGATTACCAATCTATAAGTTTAGGCTGGTGAGATGTTAGTTGAACAGCCACATACCTGGCTCAAAAATCATACTTAAAAGAGCACTCATCAGTGATTCCTTATCAGTCTAGATAAAGGTATCAAGTGAAATGCTCCAAGGCTTGGTCCTGGGCCCTCTGTTTTTCATTATTTTTACGATTTGATTGAAGAGGTGGAGGCAATGCTTATCAGATCTGCAGATGACACAATAATGGATGTGATAGTTAATTCCATAAATAAAATTCAAAAGCATCTTGCTAGATGGAAAAATAGACTAAGTGTAGCAGAATGAAGTTGAATAGAGGCAAATATAAAGTTTTTCACTTAGGAAATCAAAATTAAATCCAAAGCCATAGGCTGGGAAACTGTATGGTTTGGCAATAGCATTTGTAAGATGTTCTTAGAACAGCAGGCGACTACAAACCAAATATTGTGATAGTGTGATTTGAGTATAAAAAAACTAATCAACAAACTCTCCACTTCTGGGCACTGCACTGAATCCTACTATAATAGGATTCAGAGAAATAGAATAGGAGCAGAGAAGGGCAATAAGACTGATCAGAGGACGGGAAACTACATTTTACAAGGAACGACTGAGAGAACTAGATACATTTACTCTTGAAAAAATAGGATAAGAGTATGAAAATTTGAAAAGGCTCAAATTCTCTATGTTCTTGTGCAAAACAGAAAAATGGGTGAAAATAATGGGAAGGCAGATTCTAATTAAATATTGAAAGAAATAATAATAGCACTTCAACAATTCTTTTGAGAAATGGTAGGCTGTTCTTGGATGTCTTCATGTGGAGGTGAGGCATTTGTTGGGAATGATTTAAATTTGATTACTTGTGTTGAACAAGAGTTGGACCGCATGGCTTAAATGGCACTTTCTAACACTACAATTCCAGGATTTATTATAGTGCTGTGTAGTTCATGGAATATTATGAGAGGATACGGATAACTTCATTTTTCATCTGGATCTCTGAGAATTCGAACTCTTCTGTTTGTAGCAGTAGTTTAAGTTTAATATTTTAGCCACAACATTATCTCAGCACAGTAGGGTCAATTTATTTCCAGTTATGGGAGTTCTATTTCTAATTAAACAATTTGCACATGATGAAACCAAGAAAAGAGATACTTTTATTTTATTGATTGATTTGGTTTGATTTGCGTGCCACCTTACTCACCTAGAAGTGATTCTACTTTGCACATATTCAAAAGCCCATCCATTATATCTGGAATGAACTACCCCCCGAGATCCGGATGATTCCGGATCTCCTTACTTTCCGCCGCGCCCTCAAGACATGGCTTTTTCAGCAAGCGGGCCTGACCTAGGGAGGATTTTAGGCAGGGATAATTTTAAAAGTATTTTAATCGGAAACACAGCTGATAATATTTGGTTTTAATTCGGCTTTTATCGGGGTTTATTTTTTGTATTTTTGTATTTTTGTATTTTGTATTTTTTGTATTTTGTGTATATTATTTGTTTTTAATATGCTGTGAACCGCCCTGAGTCCTATGGGAGAAGGGCGGTATACAAATTAAAATAATAAATAAATAAATAAATAAATATTTGTCCAAAATAGACAAAATATTTCAAAACCGGAACTACATAAATCGTTCAGTACAAATAATCAGGACTGGATTGGATTTTCCAAGCAATGAAATTGCGAATAAGATGGCATATAACAAGGCCACCTCTCTATATGTTCATCTCATATACCACAATGCTATAGTTTTACTATAATGTTCCATATTTGTTCAAAATGTTCTTGCATTTTTTCCTCTAGAGTTAGTTTTGATATCATATGACTTGTACTATATACTCCTCAGAAAGAAAAAGAATACCATATTTCCTATTTTCTAAATATTTTCTTTATAACATAGTGCAGTGATGGCGAACCTTTTAGAGACTGAATACCCAAAAACTGGCCCCTGCCCCACTCCATCCCCTTCCCCGCCCCCGCTCTGCTCCCCTATCCCCCGCCCCGCCTGCCCACAGGACCACTCACCACCTCCAGGGCCCGCCGCAGATCGCCCAAGTAGCCAGCAGCGCTATGGTGGCCATACCCTCTGTCCGCGCCCTGCAGCATCAACTGCATGATGGAGTGTGAGGGCAGATTCTTGTCTATGCTGCCTGGTTGCCATGTCCTTGGCTGCGCTGCTCCATGTGGGCCACCCTCGAGGGCGACTCTCCTTCAGGGGGGCTGCTGGAGAGGAGGGGGTCGTGGGGGGAGGCAAGGCTGGGGCAACGGCATGTGTGCCCACAGAGAGGGCTCCGAGTGCCGTCTCTGGCACCCGTGCCATATGTTCGCCACCACTGACATAGTGCAAATATTGCCTGCAGTCCAGGCACTAGGAAAAATGATACTGAAACTCACTCTTATTTACTAAAAGTTTCCATAATGTGGCTACTTTAGGAATATTGTTTTTACATATCTTAAACAAGTGCCTTTGCCCTACGGGTATCAAAAATTCTTAACTTTTGTTTAGTGTTGGAAATCCTCCAACTGATTACTGAGGATTTATTATCCTCTCTAAATGATTTATTGCAAAAGACTGAAGTTTTTTTTATATATTTATTGCAAAAGACTGAAGTTTTTTTTATATATAACTGTGGCACTACATTTGGAAAAGGATCAGATTTAGTCCACTTCAAAATCTAAAGATGAAGAATTTTAATAATATATAAATTGCCAATGGTGTAAGGACAATAGGATAGTATATCCTTCTAATTAATGCAGAAGAGCATCTTTCTCAGTGCCAATTTTTTCTGTTCAGCTCATGCTTGAGTGTAATAATATTTATTTTTCATGTACCGGGCTGTCAATTGTTTTGCAGCTTTAAGTTTGGAAGAAAGATATTCTATGCAAACTATCTGAGTGACCTTGAGGAGCATGTGAAGTTGGAACAGTTGGGAATCCCAAGCCAGGTGCTAAAGTGAGAACAGATTGCTTATTTTGACTTGCTTATTTCCAGCTTCTGAAATGGAGGATGATGTATTAAGAAGGGGAGTCAAGAAAAGGGCCTTCAGAGTTTGATTTCTTTGCATACTTGGCGTGACACAGGCAGTCCTTGACTTGCAACCATTTAGTGACCATTTGAAATTACAATAGCATTGAAAAAAGTGATTTATGTTTTTATGTTTTTCATACTTACAACTGTTGCAACATCCCCATGATCACATGATCAAAATTCAGATGCTTGAGAACTGGCATGTATTTATGACAGTTGCAGTATCCCAGGGTCATGTGATCACCTTTTGCAACCTTCAAAGTCAACGAGGAAGCCAGATTTACTTAACAATAGTGTTACAAACTTAACTGCAGTGATTCACTTAGCAACTGTGGCAAGAAAAGTCATAAAATGGGTCAAAGCTTATTTAACTGTCTTGTTTAGCAACGGAAATTTTGGGCTCAATTGTGATCATAAGTGGAGGACTATCTGTACTTTAAACCATTTGATGTCTCCCAGCAAAAGATGGGGAAACATTTTTAATCCCCCTTTTTACAGCCTTTGTGTTGGATACTTTCTCCCAGTTATTCAACTGTCTTATTGTTCCTTTACCTTGTATTTGAGAACTTACTCTTAACTTTCTTAAGCAGAGATAGTTTTAGATCTTTAGATCTAACCTGCTCTTTCCAAATTACTTTTCTGCTCAGTTGTATTAGAGCAGGGGGTCAAACTGCCAGCCCGTGGGCCGGTTTCATCATACTGGAGCCGCGCCCACCCCATTGCCGGCAATGGCAAAAAAGCTCCGATACGTCGTGCAATGTCACGTGACGTCGCGAATTTGACATGTCTGTATTAGAGGGTTTCTAACTTTCTGTTAGTTAGTTATTTAGATAGTAGATGGTGTAACTGTTCTAGAGGGTATATTGTAGGACATTCTTTCATAAAGTAGTGCATCAATGGATATTAGTTAAGTAAGAATTTTTAGCATAGGACAGATTTCATACATACCAATGTTTTTTTCATTGTAGGTATGATGAGTATTTGAGATCACTACAAAAACCTACCCAGGTGCCTCAGAAAGTAACACCACCCCGTCCGCCTCTGCCAAATCAGCAGTTTGGAGTTTCTCTCCAACAGTGAGTATTTCCATCTCTTTATTTTAGTTGATGTACTAGTGATACCTGCACACTTTCTCTGGTAATATTATCAGTGTTTGCAATCCAATTACTGCTGTAATTAATTTTATTCTGCCAGGCTGAGCTACCAAGATCTTGGCCAGAGTGAGACCTTGGATATTAGCTAGTTTCAGGGTCTTTTCTCCACCCCTCCCAAATAATATGTGTGTCGTGTGAGCAATTCTTTTAGAAAGATTGGTATAAAATTATTTCTAGCATCTTGCAAAGGAAAGATAAACATTATATAAGCTTCTCCTCTACCAACAGGCTGAGGGAGAAGAACTCAGACCGGAATCCTATCCCATTGGTGATCAGAGAAACCATTGCTTATCTACAACAGCATGGTAAGAGCAAGGAGAATCCATGTTCAAACTGATCTGCCCCCTCTGGTATCCCCTATAGGGATTTTCTTTTGCTTGGATCAGCTTAGCTATTTTCAGATGTCTTAGCATTTTTCTAACTTCACATTGAAAAACAGTGGAATTCTATATATATCAGTATTGTAACTGTTTCTTTGTAAATATCATGGGCAAAATTTCTCTAAATCATTTGGAGAACTTGCAATCTTCTTGCTTCATTGTCCAATTCTATAATAGATACATTATTTTTAGGGCTACATAATGTTTATTGCTCATGTTTGTAATAATATGATTACTCTGAGCTCTTTCCCTTCCCACCTCTTTCAGCTCTTACCACACAGGGGATTTTCCGGCGATCTGCAAATACACAAACAGTAAGAGAGGTTCAACAGAAATACAACATGGGTAAATATCTGCTCGAGGTAGTCCCTTCCATTTGTCTTTCCCTTCTGTACAGGCTTTAAATTTGCCCTTGGCACGTGGAACTTCTGCCATATTGCAGGTTACGCTTTGGCTATTGCTCTGAAACCCTTTATTCTCTCTTACCCAGGATTGCCTGTGGATTTTGCAACATACGAGGATGTGCATCTTCCAGCTGTGATTCTCAAGACCTTCTTGAGGGATCTGCCTGAGCCTCTGCTCACCTTTGGTCTCTACAGTGATGTTGTCAATTTCTACAGTGAGTTGTTACCAAGATGGTCCTAATCCCATATCGGTAATCTTTTCTCAGTATGCTTGACCCAGAGTTATGATTTTCTTTGACAGTAGGAGAAGAAGACTTATTTTTCAAGTCAATATAATTCAATTTCTATTGATTAGGAGACTCTTATTTCTTTTCAAGTATTTTTTTCTCTACAAGATAATCTCTCCCTATGTTAACTAGAAATTGGGAATGTTGGTGCATATCACACTTGTTTTCTTTTCCTTTAAGGTATGGAAGAAGAAAAGAGTATAGATATTGTTCGCAAAACACTTCAGACTCTCCCAGAGGAAAACTATCAAGTTCTGTGTTTATTAATGAACTTTCTTGGGCAGGTGAGATTAGTGTATTACATACTTTTCAAATTCTGAGCCATAAGATGTGGTGATGATGGTTAGCTTATGTAGTTTTAAAACAAATTTCAAAAGTTAATGGAGGGTGCCTATCACTTATTATTAATCGTCGTAATATGGCTGGTACCCTCCATTAATTTTGTGTAACTGTATGTTTAGAAATAACCTAAATTTGAATATGAGATACACTGTTTAGAAGGCCTGTGACGACATTGATCTTCACTCTGGTGAGGGAGCGTAAGGCCCTTTGCTTCCACATTCTTGTCATCCTTAATCTTTCATGTTTGATTGAATTTATCACAATTTTTTTATTTGTTTATGGTGAGCTGCCCCGAGTTGTGGAGAGGCGGGCAGAATACAAGTTAAACAAGCTATTCTTAGTCACTATTTGGAAACAAGATGCTAAAATAGGTGAACCCAAATTTTTCTGTGTATCCAATCTTCTATAGCGCTCCATCCTGATCCCCTTTCCCCAGTCATTGACAAATATTCTACTTGTGAAAGGATCGGGCTCAGGTTCCGCCAAAGCACTTCATTGCTGAGCAGTAATTAGCAAATTTCTATATCCATGCTGAAATCTGATCCCTATATATACCATATATATCCAATTTCTTGCTACGATTTCTTTTTCTTCTTCTGTTCAATCGTGTCTAATTCTCAGAGACTGCCTGGACAAATCCGTGCAGTTTTCTTGACAAGATTTTTTTTTTTCAGAAGTGGTTTGCCACTGTCTCCTTCCTAGGACTGAGAGAGAGTGACTGGTCCAAAGCTGCCTAGGGTGGGATAGAACTCGTGGTCTCCCAGTTTATATCCTAATGTAGACATGTCAAACACAAGGCCCGGGGGCCGGATGCGGCCCGTGACATGGTTTCATGTGGCCCACGAAGCCATCCTGGAAACAGTGAGGGAATGGCCCCTGCTGCCTTGGCCCTGGCCCAGGCCGACTGGGAGCCAATGTACAATTTTGTGGTGGCCATCTATGCTGAAATGCATTCAGTCTTAGCTCCACAAGGCCGTCTGGAAACAGCGAGGAACCAGCCCCTGCCGCGTCTGCCCCGCCTCCTGGGTGCATGCTGGGGAGGTGTCACCCTTTGTGAGGAATGAAGAAATGCACCATCGCCTGGAAGTGGCCAGCAAATGGCCCTTGCCTACTTCACATATCCGGCTTGATGGGCTCCGGGGGAGGGGTTTTGGCAGGCTCTTCCAGTGGACCATGCCTTGGCGCTTACCCTGGCAGAGACCCTCAGATCTGTCCCACTCCTGCTCAGGCCCCCACAGGCACCCTTGACGCGAACGATGTAGAGCTGGCCATGCCCACCCAGTAGGCCACACTCCACCCATGCCCACCCAGTAGGCCACGCCCACTCTGGCCACACCTACCCAGCCCCCCCGAGGACAACCACAATGCTGATGCGGCCCTCAATGAAATTGAGTTTGACACCCCTGTCCTAATGCCTTAACCACTGTGCCAAAGTGCACCTCATTATGTGTTGTGTGGTAAAAAAACAAAATTAAAAGTGAATGTAGGGAATATAAATCAAATTAATATTTACAGAATTTAATTCCTTGTTAGTGTGATGCAATGAATAGATAACTTTGAGGAACGGGGGAAGGAAATGTCTAAGAAACCATCAGACAAAAGAGACAGGAGCCCTCAATTGTTTGTCGAAGAAGAAACCTAGGAATGACACACCTTTCTAGCATTTAAAAGCAGTAGGCAAGAAATTTGTACTTTCAGACTTGCAAGATTGATGGTGGCTTTCCCAGTGAAACCAGTCAGGAAACACGACCAGATGAACTAAATCTGCTTTATTGTCAGGCCACATTAACAGAACCTCGTAGGTCTGAAAGTACAAACTTCCCACCTGCCACTTTTACTGCTAGAGCCGTTAGGATGGGTCCTTCCTAAGACTCTGACCATTAAACAATTACGGGTGCCTGGCCTCTGCCTCTTATCTGATGATTTCCTATGCAGCATCTCCTCTCCCCTTTCCACAGGGTTATCCATGCGATAGAAAGCATCTCTAAGAGTATAAGGGACAAGATATGAAACCTGTATCCCTATTCTGCAGCAGGTGAACAAGATTGCCAAAAGTTATATATAAATTTGTATGTGCTTGTGTATGTGTGTTAGTCATCTTTAAAGCTCTTTGAGGCTCATCCCGATTATCCATGAGGCTGCCTGCTTCTAGGCTCTAGCGGAGGGCTGGACGAAGACCTTCAAGGTCCCTTCCAGCTCTATTCTGATTGAATTAAATTAGTTATACCTCCTCCTCCTCCCCCTCCCCCTCCTCCTCCTTCTTCCTCTTCATCAGCAGCCCCACGAAAAAGTGCTGCTGAGTTTTGTCCAAACCAGTCCCTTAGATTTTGAAGCCACAATGTTCTTCTTCTGCCTGGACCTCGTTTGCCTTCAATCTTTCCCTGGAGGATTAAATGGAGTATGCCGTATTTTTCTGGGTGTCGCATCACATGACCGAAATATTCTAATTTTCGTTTTTTAATTGTTTTGATGATTTCCCTTGGCTTTCCCAGGAGGCTTATCACCTCCTCATTTCTGATCTTGTCAACCCAGTTTATAAGTAACAGCCGCCTGTAAATCCACCTTTCAAATGCTTCTAGTCTCTTCAGGTGGCCTTCTGTCAGAGACCAACTCTCTACTCCATAGAGCAAGATAGAAAAAAATATAACATCTGACAAGCCTGATTTTCAGTCTTAGTAGTTATACCTGGCTGTCCTATTTGATCTAACAGACTAAGCACATTCTAAGTCCCATTGTTAAAAGTATGACACCTTGCGAGACTTCAGAGATGTATCTTTTCAGTAGTCTTACCTGCTGTGTGGGAAAGAAGCCCAATATCTGCATGGCCCCAGTCATGTTGTCAACTTAGGAAAGGTCTTCAAGTGTGACACAGGACACTTTATGATGCTACACTGATCTTAAGATAGTAGTTCTTTATTCTTGATGTTTCCTTCCCTATCCACTTTTACAGTGACTTTGGATGTGTAAAAACAGTCATACAATATAATTTAAAAAAAAAAATAGTAAAATGCCTGCAAACGTCAAAAGAAAAGCAGCCAGTAAAAGACAATAAATCCTGCAAATCCACTCTAACTGAAGGCCTGGAGAAAGGGCCAGTTTTTCAGATCTTTTTTTAAAATAATAATAATAATAATCGTATGTTTTTACACATCCAAAGTCATTGTAAAAGTGGATAGCTTTATACATATCTTAAATCAATCAAATTTATAAGATCACTCAACTCGCAATGTCTCTGTTGCAAGTTGCTCACATGTCCTTGGACAGTTGAAGTGGCTTATAAATTGAACAAATAAATATCTACCAATTAGATTTTTGTTATTTTATTCCAGAAAAGATTGAAACCAATACACTAAAAGAAATTAGCAGATGACTGATTCCGTAAACGGGGAAGGAAAAAAAATTGTAACTAAAGGCCAGTAGTTTGTTAAACAGCAGGTATTCTAAACTCCAAATATCACTATTTTATATGCAAGACAACTTTGGTCTTTATGTGTAACCTGAGAGTTGAATAGATGGTAAGGAGCTAAGAAGCACTGAATCAAATTCCTGTTTTTTTTCCCCGAGTGTTTAATTTTTTTCTTCCTCTTTCTCTCCCGTTACTTCACATGTAGGTCTCTGCCAACAGCGATATCAACAAGATGACCAATGCCAATCTGGCAGTAGTATTTGGCCCAAATCTGTTGTGGGCTAAAGATGCAGCTATAACCCTCAAAGCCATCAATCCTATCAACACCTTTACCAAGTTCCTCTTGGACAACCAGGTGCAGCTTTCCCAGAACACAGAGGCTTGAGCCATAACCTGTTTGTGTTAGCACGCTCTGTGTCCACTGTGATCATTCCTTTCTTCTCCTCCTCCTCCTCCTTTTCTTTTCTACCTTGCTTTGGAGATGTGGCCATTCTGAAGAAGTTCCAGGTGATGTGTAGTGTGAAAGATGGATACAGTTTGCTTGTGCGTATATATGGAGGGTTTTGCAGGAAGGGGGCTTATCAGATGAGGAGGGAAAGCAGATCTTAAAAATCAAGTTCTACCTTGGCTATTCTGTCTTGGGTACTTGTACTAGTATTCAGGTTGTTCTTAAATGTTTTATCTCCTTTCCTTTCCCAAAGGTGTCCTATCAGATAAGTCTCGTTAACTGTCAACGGAACTGCTTTCTCTTAGTACCAGGCCCCGGGGGAGTGGATTAGGGTGGAATTTATCTCAAGTCAGTTCTCTGGTCCAAATTGATTCTTCACAGGCGCCCAAGTCAGGCAATCCTGTTTAATACTGATAGTGACTTGCTGAATACACGTTATACCTTTGATGGATGCAGCCTAGACCTTGTCCCTGGCAAAACTGAACCATAGTACAACTGGCTTAAGTGCCTGGAAACTTATCTATAGATTTCATGCAGCTCTGACACTTGATCTGTTATCAGGTGTTCCCGTTACGTAAAGATTACGTGCTCTTGGATGCACCGGAGCTCACTTTTCTGCCTTGTCAATGTTCTCCTGTAGCCTTTTATTTCAGAATGGCCTTGGCAGCAAGCCTTTCCTTCTTAACTGGCAGATAATGAATGCAAGTACCTGTATGTGTACTGACATGCATTCAACCAGGCCAGCTCCTCTCTGCCAAAGTCCAGATCAAATATTGGCCACGCCTGTGACTGAAACACAGGAAGTGTGCTATTAGGCGGCTCTGGATGCAGCACTTTTGACATTGGAATTAGATTGTTTTCAAGCAAAAGCTTCATGGCAGGGCCAAACCTTATTCTAATCTGCTGGGATCTACTGTGCCAAAACTATTAAAGAATGAATTTGTTTCTACCATCTTTTCCTTATGGGGCTTAATTGTAGTTTTTTTTTTTTGACTTAAGTCAAAATGACCCCGATGCACCTTTGGTTTCTTTGGCACTTGAGAGGTATGAAGCATTGCTTTCTCTTTTTCTAGGAACTGAGATAGCCCTGCGGTAGGTTTATCTGGTTTTTTTTGACTGTCTCTTTTTGACTGCCACATGAAATTAGTTTTGTAAAAGCTAGTCTTAATTTATATAAAAAGAGCACTGCCCTACAATGTCTTTAGCAGTCATAGTTTTAAGATAAAATCTTAACATTTCCATTATGTCCTGCTGACAGCTCTGTTGGCAGCTGAATATGACCACATAGCCATAGGTTGACCCTCCAAAGCAGAGGGCCAAAGTCATACAATTATATAGACTAGCAGTGTTTTTTTACCCCATAGTTCAGTGCAATTACGTAATAAAATTATTTGTTATGCTCATAATTAACAAATGATCAATGCAAACTAAAAAGTGTACCTGGGTTATCAATGCCAGTAGTTCAACCATGGCTGGTAAAAAAGCTCTAGAAGTAATTGAAAAAATTCCCAGACTATTAGTGATAACAGGGAATGGCAGATTAAAGTGGTTGAAGCTATTAAGAGGGGCTGATGTGCTAAGATTGTTCATTCTCCTTTATTAAGGCATATAAGATTAATCTGATATGTTGTACATAATGCTTAGTCTAAAGAAACACGGGACCCTTTCAGCTAGAAATTAAAAGTTATAAAGATTATCAAAAGGGGTTTTTTTTCTTAATAAACTTTTATATATTATTTAGCATGACTAAACAAGAAGTGGCCTTGCATAGAAACCATTATCAATATTAGCTTCATTGTTTTATATTTCAGGCCATGAATAGCTTGTAGGCTGTTTTTATAGCATGCCATTGTGAACTGAGACTAGATTTGGTCTGATTCTAAGCTGTAGAAGTATTGCTTTGTTTATTAAAAATGCCCAGGTGAAAAGGAAACTGATTGTACAGAAACCGCAATTTAGACTAGTAAGGTCCCAGTGCTTCAAGTTTAGTCCTTGCACTCAAACTATAATTTCTATACTGAATTAGTTTCAGAATTATGTTAACACAAATTGAAGAGAAAATAGTTTCTTGGGGGTTCAGTATTGTCATACTTGGGCAATGACACATTTATCAACTACATATATTTCAAACTCCTGAATGTGACTTTGCGTTGCCAGGTTATAAAATATATCTTGTTAAGTGCACCATATTATGAAAGCGAACTTGCAAAACTGTAGAAGTGAGCCAGTGTAAATAATTCTTAATTTTCTCACTTTGCTGAGAGCGACCAGAAAATCTAAAGCACGTGATTGCTTTGTTTCTTTATCTTTTCTCATTTTGCCTTCTTGAAACTATAGCTAGCCATAGACCTGTGATTGGGCTAGACTGTTTAAAAGAATGAAACGTGGTTTGAACTACACTGCTCTCCCAAGTTTTGATTTCCAAAATGCCTGCTGCCTGAACTGGGGTATCCAAGCAGGCAGTCAGAGTAATTAGAGGGGCAGCATCCATGTAGCTGTTTATGTCTTCCCACCTCCTTTTTTAAAAAAATATAACTTGATAGCTTGTTCTGGCTCTACTTCCTCTCCTCTTCTGTCCTTTCAGTGGCACATCTACGTATTCCTGTTTATTGTTGCTTGGCTTTCATGTTAGATATTGACCCCAGTATTTGTAGATGGAGCACTATGCCACCACTCTATCACTCTTTTGCCTGTCAATAAACCCACTGATTCTTTGCCATCCTTGGAACACATTCTGTGCCCACATTGCTAACAGCTACTCCTCTGCTTGTACTGACACAACAGGTTTTGGGTAATACTGCTGATGTTGAGGCCCAATCTGGATGTCTTACGTGTGCTGCCTCAGCCAAATATTACATGGCCAAATGAGTCCTTGTTGCACACTCTCCAGTGAGGTCTTAATGTAATTTTTGTTGCTGTTCCCCTATATTTTACTTCTTTTGATTGTTTATTGGGAGCAAGGCTGGGGGTTGTTACTGTGACTTTTATTTACATAACCTTGTTTATTTCCTTCCAGTGGTACCAATCTTGTATTCACAGTTTGCACTTTTTGTACTTCAATAAACACTCAAAGCCAATAACAAATTTTGGTGTGCGTCTCCATTTGTTATTCTAAGACTAGTTATTAAGAGATGCTGTTTAATAATAGGCACCTCCTATTGACTCCTATCTTTTTGAGTATTGACTGCTTAAGTCAATACTTGAAAATATAGAAGCTATTTTTTTTTCATTCTTAAACCAATTGTGTTGGCTGGATCTAGGATAATTGTCCCTATTACGTATAAATCAATGCTTATTAGATATAGTACAGTCCATTTTATCTAGAGTTTCTCCAACTCTACTATGGCTGTTTTAATTAATTGTTTTCAGATCTGGAGTAATGTTACTACACATCCAAATGTTTGTATCTTCACTATAACTAAAGAGGAATAAATTTGAAATTAGAACCTCATCGATGGCTAACCTATCTAGAACAGACTCTTGCTATGTCTATCTTTCTAGGTAGTGATCTCATTAACTCTTAAAAAGAAAGCTAGAAAGCACCCAACTTCTGAAGATAAACTTTGGTCCTATATGAAGTACATACGTTCCTTTGAGGGAGAGCATATTTGCTTGCCAGTAGTGTGGACTGTTATAAAAACTAGAACAATGTCAACTGTGAGAACCATAAACTTTTCTTCTGTCCTAACTATCATCTACATTTACAGCTAAATATACCAAATATGAATATAATCATATTGCTCTTAGGAAAAAAATGAAAACATAGTCATTGGGAAATGAATAATATATTAAAAGCAACCAGGAAAAGGAATATTTTAAAAAATGTTCTTAATTTTGGCTTTCACTCTTAAGAAAATGACAGGTTGTGTGATAATTGACTAATAACATGATGAGTCTCACTGAAATTAGTGAGGTAACTGGGGAAGAACCACACTACTTATTTCAGTGTAGTGTATTAATATATTTCATCCACTGATGTGTCCTCTGATTAGTTAATTTTATATGGAATTCAAGATAACCCTTCAAAAATTCAAAAGTAGGAGACTGCATTTTGATTCTAGTATTATATTAGCTTTTTTTAAAAATGCAATCAAATAAAAAATAGAAACTTGTCATAAACTTTTCATGAACTATCAAGTAGAAAGCTATTTACTTTTTTAAAACCAGAGCCTACTTTTAGGATTTGGATATACTCCTTCATAATACAGAAATGCATCAGGCAAATGTTTATAATTTATAATAAATATATGAAAAGATTCACTTTATTTTTTCTAAGTATTTGCTCTCACAACCATTTTTCTTATTTTTTTAAAATTTCCATACTGTCCATACAAAATGCTGAGAACATGGTCCAGCATAAATATGGTTACTACCATGTTTTCTCTTTGGGGAAATATGGGAGATTTCAGAGGGTAGAAATTGCTATCCAAACTAATGCATTTGGTTCCCATACCAGGATGATTTTTATGGAAACTATAGCTGCAAAAGCCTTTTTGTTCCTTATAATTATGAATTTAAACTGATATTAAGTCTTCTCTGGAAATGCAAAGCCAAAGGTGTCCAACCCTTCTTCTATAGGTTGCATGCAACTGAAATGTACTATATGGAGGTTCAAAAGATGATTTCACTCTTTCACCTACCCAAGAGAACTAAACATCTTAAGCTTTGCAGAAGCAAAATACATTCATTTTGCCCCTTATCGTTTTCCTGGTTGAGCTGGGGAGCATAGGGGACCAAATTACCCCAAATCACTCATCAGAAAGTTCTTTTTACCCAATGTAGGTTAAATACTTTTAGTCAAATAAATGTCCTGGTTATGGTTGGGTAATGGGTTTGGGTGTTGTTACCCAAAGAAAGACCACTTTTATCCAATTTTGAGTAATTTACCAGGTTTGCGAAGCACTGGCTTAAGGCATCCATCCACAAAGCGAAGTTTGACCTTGCCTAAAAATGTTTTTACTAGCTTATAGTATCTGACAATCTGCATTTAAGGTTTTAGTATTTGCATGACTACAGCCTAGTATGTAACTGCCTTTTAATATGTTTGTAATAGCTGAGATATGTGCATTCTGTAAACTATGTGTACAAGTCAATTTCTGAGCTTTAATATCTGATCAATTTATTGTACAATACTGTACATGCACAGATTTAATTTACTTATATTTCCCAGCTTTACCTCACTGTTACTGTGCATAACATTGTATTTTGCTTAGAATTCCAATTACAAATATTTCCAGTATGGAAAAAAGAGACACTTTTTATCAGCACATATATTTATTAATAATGTAGTTATATAAATGATTAAAAAAATAAATCCCCATCAAAAGATCCTTGCCAACCTCAAATGAAAATCTGATAGCATAATTAAATCAACCTGCTTCCATTCTGCAGAAGTATAAAAGTTCTTATTGGTGTAAATATTGACAATGCTAGGCATTTATCGCAAGTTTGTTAGTTATATTTATATATGTACTTACACACGCATATGCTGCCTCCTATCACTCTAGATGGCTTTTGAGCACATGTTTCTCTCATGTTCTAAAGGACACTTCTAGTCTTTCATGAAGACAACAGCAAACGTCTGTAGATTGCTTTTGAATTATTTTTTCTCAAGAACTAATACTCTAGTGTCAGCAGTATAATTTATCAATTTTCAACTATTTCATTAAACTGCAAGGGAGACAAGGTGGATGTCATAGAAAATCTTACCAAATTACTTGTTTCATAGCTGATCTTCTACGTGTGTGTGTGTGTGTGTGTGTGTGTCTGCTCATATCCTGTGCATTCATACGCTATTATTGAATCTGGAGAGGCATATTTCTGAAAAAAATGTTGGGAAAGGTGATATGAAAATGGCAATTCTACAAAGAGTAGCTGAAGAGTTAGACGTTTGGGAGCTTTAACAGGAAGATAGACAGCTGTTTATCTTGCCTTGCTAAAATCTGAAGTTTTGCTAGAAAAGACAGTGGAACAGATGAATTTAAAATAGCACAAATGTTTTATTGGAAATTATATGAATGTGTAGTGGAATATTTTGAATAGTGTTTCCAAACAAATGCAGGGGAGGAACCTTCTTCCTTCAGTTGATGCATTTGGATATTGCCTATAATGTATCAATTCTGATTCACAGCACTGTAACTAGAAATGTATCCTCTGACAACCTATAACTGAATCCCTGATAAGAGGATTTATGTAGGATAGTAAGTTGATGTGTTTATTTGGCAGAACCAATGAGATTGTCTTCAAAAAATAAAAAACCTGGATTCAGACAACAGCATCTTATAATATTATGTAAGCGTACTTCTTGCTATTTCCTGCCCCCGCAAGAACCCCAAATCTGTGATGTTCTCAAAGGGTTATTCTGTTGGTAGAACATCAGAATCATATCACTGAATTACAATCCAGCACATATTTCAGTGTAAGAAAAACACTGAACAAGAAATGAATATCAACATGTGTAACTTGAAATTCTATTTGTAGTTATATTATTTTATCTGTATAATTTTAAACTATGAGAATAAATAGTTACAGGTAGTTCTCAACGTACGACCACAATTGGGACTGGAATTTTGGTCACTAAGCAATGCGTTGTTAAGTGAGTCATCAAGTGACTGGACCCGACTTTATGTCCACTTTTAACTATGGTAAGCAAATTACAGGGTAATTCAATGAATCTGCAAGGCACTGCAAGCACTGTAAGCCAGTTGTTAAACACCCAAATTGTGATCATGTGACTGCAATGGCAGTGGTGCGATGGTCGCAACTTACAGGATGGGCCTTAACGTCACTTTTTCTGAGGCTGTCATAGCTTTGAAATGTCAATAATGAATGGTTGTAAGCTGAGGACTACCTATAATTGACTAAATTTCTTTAATCGTTATAGCATTTTACTGTGACAATGAAGCGGGAACCAAATAAGTGCCGTGGCATAAATGTCAAGGTAAATGTGCAAAAAAAAATAAAATATCGGCAGAAAAATGATTTTTAGGAACAGTAGAAACACAAGCAATTTCCTTACCTTACCATCATTTACAAGAATAGGCTCTCTTGTAGTCAATGGTGAAAAAGCCTGTTCAGACAAATAGCTCTACATCATCTGAAATCTCATGAATAATAATAAGGAATGCTTCCCCCCCCATATTCATAAAATGTTTTGATTAGAAAGCTAAAAGGTTTGGGAAATCAAGCCCTGTTTTATGCAGATATGACTATGGGTTGGAAGCTCTTTCTGGCAACCTATTTTGAAGTAATTTTGATGTTACTATCATTCTGAACCGCAAAACAAGCCCACACACCCTACTTAGGAGCAATTTAGGTATGAATCTAGATGTGTGTTCTTCAGTGGTCCAATAATGAATAACAATATCACAAGTACTTTGAAAATAAATTTTAAAGGTATTTTTCGGTCAATTTAAGTAAATTTCTTACAGTTTTGAGCCATTAGGATAAACTACATGCTAGGAGACAAAAGGTTTAATTTTCTGCTCATTTCTGCAAAGCAGTAGGGAACAGAAAATTCCAGAGCCCATCTGAAAGATGTATACTGCCCTAATAATCTACCCTCCCTATCACCCCGTCTTAGACCCCCAAGCAAGCAAAATCTATTAAGAGCAGAGCATTTAGTCAACATTCCATTATTTTAAACTATAAATATCCTTCATATCTAAAGGCAACACTCGTACAAAAGCATCTAAGATGAAAGACGGAAGGAATGAGGGGATATGATCTCTCTTCAGTACAGTGTATGGCAGTCCAATTCTAAACAGGTTTACTCAAAAATACCTTCCTAAAGTTTAAAAATACTTGCTCCCATTAAAATATGCACAGAGGTGAATTTTCAGCCTTTTTTTGACAGTGGAAAGGAAGAACTTGTGCCCAGAGCCTAATTTATCCCTAAACTCATTTAAGTGTCTTTTTCCTTCCTTCCTCATAGTTGGTGTGGAACATGGAGCAAACAGAACACATAGAAATGCCAGTCAATTGCATTACTTAATGCCTAACTCATTGGAAAAACAACTTTAAACAAAACGTTGCACGATAGAACAAGTACCGTAAATCTCGTAAAATGTACTTCTATACCAAGTTACTTTCTAACTCATCGCAGATTATAGTAAATTTATTTTACAAATATGACAGAGCTCAACTTTTTAGAACTCTGCAAATTCACTACACCAGAGCACATATCTTAATTATGACATTTCTAGACCCCCCCTCCAAGAGGGCAGAATGAAATCAAGTCAATCTCTGGGAAAGATAAATTTCCCAGCACATTTCCGCTTTTGAAAAAAACAAAGGAAGATGCCCTCATTCTTTGTAAGGTTGTTCACAGCACTTTTGCAGTGACAAAGGAACACAGCAGCCTATGGCTATATAACAATGTGAAAACATAACATACAATTTTTCTTTAAATATAGTTTCCTTTAGAATAATAAATATTTCTTATTTCTCTTAACATAGAGCAGCAGCATCTGTAAAAACTTTGGACTAAAGATCCCTAATTAAGTAATCCTAAAGAATTAGGATCACTAATACGTATTTACAATTAGCAATTGTTAAGAAGACCCCATGAACTCTGAACCTTCTTCAAAAGCAACAAGACTTTTTGTCTAGCCTTAGGCAGGCATTGTTTTTGACTCTGTTGGTGGAAAAATATATGAGAAGCACTTTTTTTCTGCTCTTATGGATTAATTCCGACTGTACAGCAGGGGGAAAAAACGATGTGCAACACTTTGTTTCCATTATTTAGAGTATTAGAAGTGACTATTATCCTCTGAAACAGACTGAAAATAGACTAATTCTGCAGTGCTAGTGTTCAGGATTCAATGTAGCATAGATTATTCTGTTTGTTTTGTTCCTTTCAGTTGATGGTTCTACTGAATCAAGTGAAAAGAGACAACGGGTGATGGAGGCAGAAGCAATAGACAATCATTACAGATGAGATAATAAAAGGTAGAAGTGATCATTTTGTTCTTCACTGTACTGCTTCAGATGCCAACTGTAACAAGAAGGAAAATGAATTAATTCATCACAAGGTCAGTTCAAAGGGATGCACATTTGTTTCTGCATTGGACAAAGCCCGGAAATCAAATGAAATTGTTGGTGCAACATAACAGGACCCGAAGGAAGAGGCAGGTCCATCGAAGAGGACGTACGATGCTGTTCTAGCTTGGTTCAATTTCACTGTAAGGTTTCTACAAACGCATCAAATTCTTTGACGTTCCTCTCGTGAACAGCCAATTTCTCTGGCAGTGAGTCCTGTGAAAAGAGAAAAATGTGTTAAGTGGCTAAACTGAAACCTCTGTGGGCAAAAGATGCAATGCTCAGCAAGAAAGAAATGCATGCCCATTCAGAAAGCTCTTCCATTAACTTGAAAACTTGCATTTTTCCTGCAGGTAATTGTGAAATGGCAGGACGGGGTCAGCCATTTCTGGCTTGGTAGGAAAAAAATAATAATCAAAATTTTGTGTTATAATCACCACACAAAATTATTAGCTTGTGAAAGATTAGCCTTAACAAATGGTTGCCATTCTGGATATTATTTCAAAAATATCCACTGACTAGAGCAGAAGTCCCTAACCTGTGGGCCACGGCCCATTAGCAGGCTGTGAGGGGTTTGCAACCTGGCTGCGGAAATGGCTGGTGAATGCGCGTGCACCCTCACTTGTGCGAGCAGCGAGCACATGTATTCCATTTAAGTGAGTGGCAGGCACAGGTGCACGCCACTCGTGCAGATGGAGCCGCGCACACATGCTTGCCAGCTACTCATATGAAACCATCCCCTCTCCCCACTGCCAGTCCGCAAAGCCAGAAATGGACTAGAGGGCAAACTAATACGGCAAGTAGTAATTTGCCCAAGAACATACATACAAGTAGAAATAAATCTGAGCTTCAAAATTAACATTTTGAACGCCTATGTTTTCTGCTACAATATATTTAAATAAACAAATATGAGAATATTTGGCCAAACACGAGTTTAAAAAGAAGAAATGGGACTTGAATCTCAGGTATTAAATTACATAATTGCCAACAATAAACTACTTAGCTCACAGAAAGGAAACCAGTGACTCTCAGTGGAAGACATCAATGTACATATGGTTCTTTTCGAAACTGCAAAGTCATACTTACAGTTGACAAAATACAACAAAATATAGAAAGCAACTCTCAAAACCTAGGACAAATGTACATCTACCACATAAAACCTAAGCAAAGCACACCACAGCAAAGTGTTCACATTGTACTTCAATCTACTAATCCCCCATATAAATCTTGAAGATACTCATTGTTAGTGAAATTATAGCTTGCTTTCTCACAAATAAGCTTCTAAGTCAGTGTTTCTCAACCTTGACAATTTTAAGGCATGTGGACTTCAACTCCCAGAATTCCACAGCCAGCAATGCTGGCTGTGGAATTCTGGGAGTTGAAGTCCACATGCCTTAAAATTGTCAAGGTTGAGAAACACTGCTCTAAGTGAAATGTTTGAATGCAGCTGTCCATATTTGTACTTCTAAAAAATGCTTTCAAACTTTCAATCTCATATAGGGCCCAATAATACAAAAAAGACAATACAAAACAGCAACTAACTGAACATGAAGAGCACCTCTGTAGAAGTCAACACGAGTCCATGACAGTGAATCTATCACTGATGTTTCCTCCAAGACTCAAGGTTAACTAGCTCCCTCCTTCCAAACAGAACTCTGTAGAAAGAGTCAGCTACTGAAATGGCATGGAGGGATAGAGTTAAAACTATGCTATTTCTCATCAAATAGATTTCATAATATCAATTATTTCCCAGCATTTAACCAAAGGCAGAGCATTGGGAAAAACTTTCTACAATCAGACACAAATTCTTGAGACAAAGGAACTAATATGCAATAAAGCAAAAAAAGGACCACCCCTTATTTATTGATCGAAGTTCTGAATTTATTAGGCATCAGAGTGAAATTCAAACCATCAATGCCCTTTACAGTTTGTTAGAAAACAGACTTAAATTTGTACAAAAGCTTCAAACCCCTGAGAGAAAGAAAAGCTTGTTGCTATAAGGGTCCCTAGGGTGGCTGTTACATATCACGAGCCAGGGATTAAAATATTCTTGGCATTTCCAGGCAGATTTCCAAGCAGTTCTTGCCTGATTTATCTCACTTTGGCGGATTTTTAGACATATTTCAGCATGTTTTGACTGAGGATATTTCAGAAATTCCAGCAATAATTTTAAGGAAGGTCAAAACTGCTAGAAAATCAGTTATTCTTAGCAAACTATCTCATATACTCATTGTGGGAAAAAGGGGAGGAAAGGAGCACTATGTATGCTACCTTAAGCTCAGAAATAAGAAGTAGGATATAAATTAAATACATACATATAAATGCATGGTTGTAAAAACTAACATTTGGACTTTGAACTTCCTGGTTCACAGCTCTGTCTATTTGTCCACTCTCCAAATTGGAAGTGAAAAGTGCTATAGATATAAATGTTCCTCACAGAAATCTTATTGCCTACCAGGTCTTCTGCCATGGATTGAGCTCCAATGTCAATGGAGAGGCTGCTGAGTTGAGGAGGATTTTGAAATTCACGATAGAAAGTCCCTAGGTCCATGGGGATAATGTCATCTTTAGAAAATGCTGGCTTCTAGAATTCAAATGGAAGATTTAAGTCAACTATGCACAAGCAACAAAATGTAAAATAGGTATCATTTTGAACTCTCGCCTGTTGAAAAGAAGACAAACAAGTAAAAATTGTTTAACATACTGTATGTCAAAGTTTCATCTTACAGTACCATTATGTATTAGATTATTAGATTTCCTGGAACAGAGAGATAGAGGAGACATCTTAACAAGTGTAAGTATAAGGAAGTAGATTGGGAGACACAAAATCAGGCTAAACCCTAGCAAGACGGAACTGATGTTCATCCAGAAACATCTTAATCTCTTAAAGATATCAGTTCCAGTTTTAGCTCTGAATCAGGCCACTCTCCTGGATTTTCACATCCTGCTTGAACAACAGACAGAGCCTGTGGCAAGGAGAACTTTGGCCAGCTTTAGCTGGTATGTCTGTTATGAATTTATCTGGACCAGGAAGCACAGGCAACAGTTATATGCCTTTATCATCATATGATTAGACTATTACAATCCTATTCCTTCCTTTGAAGATGACATGGAGATATAGTTGATACAGAATACCATGGCAAGTTATGCCAGAATAGAATTAATGCCCAATCTACAATTGCTGCAATGGTTGTCAGTACAGTAGCTTCAATGCACAATTTAAAGTATTGGTTATTACCTATATAGCCCTACATGGCATGGTACTAGATTACCTCAGAGCCTGCCTTGTCCAAAAATTTGGTTTTTCTTTCTATGAGGCCATCAACAGATCTGCTTTCGATCCTGCCACCATATAAAGTAATGGATACATAGGTCCAGAGACAGGTCTTGTCAGATACATCCGCAATATTAATGGGTTACCCCAGGGATTTAATTAGTGCTTTCATTCTTAGTCTTTTGGAAATTGCTAAAAATATACCCTTTGAACTGGCCTTCTAGCCATTTTTAATGGTTATTGAAGGTGAAGGGTCACCATCTATTGTACTGAACTTTTTAATTGTTTCCATTGAACTTGAGCTTAAAAAGCTTATGAACTGCCCAGATTTGTGTGACTGTGATAGTATATACATTTTGTTACATAAATAAAGTCATTTAATACTATGCTGCAATAAACCAGTAATTTTCTCTTTGTTTCTTTTCTTCCTTCTATGTATCATTTTGGGATACACATAATCCTAGTCTATCACTGTTATTTCTAATTCACTCCAGGTCTGCTCACTGTTTCATGAGTCTTTTAAAAATGAAAATACAACTGTTGTATTGCTGTAGGTTTTGCTTCAAATAGTAATGTATCAGCTATCAGTAGATTTCTCTCCCATTCTTACTTTTCCATAGTATCTATTAAACGCTTGATAAAATATTTTTTCCCATATTATTTTGAACTTTCTGAAAGAACAAATTTTGATTACAAATTTAAAAATATTTTGATATTGTAATATGCTATGGTTGATTTCTGAATTGTTACATTTTTGTTAAAGACATCATGTAGGTATTTTCTTTGCTCATACCAGAATATATTCTGGATAATGAAATAAACCTTTGGCAGTAATTTTTGGTTTGCAAAAATTAGGACACACAACTTTTGAATTATCTATTAACAATGCAGTGGTCTACAAAGCCATATTTATTCAAAGAGTTTAATTAATTATTGTGATCTTAATTTAGCATTCGGTTCCAGATGGGCTTGGAAAAAAACTCCTATATGTCTGGTAGTTCCTATAACAGTGATGGCGAACCTTTTAGAGACTGAATGCCCAAAGTGCAACCCAAAACCCACTTATGCATCGTCAAGTGCTGGGTGGGTATTGCCCATTGGCTGGGTGTTGTCCATGGGGGGGCGTGGCCAATTGGGTGGGCGTGGCTGCAGTGGTAATGGCAGACTGGGTGGGACTAAAAAGTTCAATCAATCAATTCCAACTTTGCAAGATCTTTTTTTTTCCCGCGAGAAGTTGAAATTGACTGATAGAACTTTTTTTTTTTTTGCACATGGCGGCAGAGGCCTAAAGCTGAAGGCCTAGGAGTGGGGTGTGTCCACAGAGAAGGCTCTGAGTGCCACCTCTGGCACCCGTGCCATAGGTTCGCCACCACTGTCCTATAATAATTCATTTTTGTATTGGAACATGTTATGGCCATTCTAGTAGGGGTTCATATATTTCTGGAAAACAATCTTCTGGAATAGAAAATTATCTGAACTTTCACAGATGTGATTCAATTCCAAAACAGACTAGGGATTGATTCCAGGTAGAACCCCATGAATTACTTCCTGATCTGGAAGATTATTGGGATAAACAAAATCCCAACTGAGGAACTACCAATGCAGACAAATAAGCTAACAGTACACAACAGCCTAATCAAGGAACTGCCAAGAATACTTCCACCAACACTGACAGGACAAGCCACTAATATATAAAAATAAGAGCAAACCCCTTCTAGCACTGATGATGCTACCTAGTTTGGCAATGAAATGTCTACAAGTAAACCACCAAGCTCAGAGAGCACCAAGGACCCCACAGATTCACCAAAGAGATTGAAGTTTCTTGGAAGAAAACTTTCCCCCAAATACCAGAACATGAAGTTTTAAATACAAATACGAGTTACTTGTGTAATGAATGTAAAGGGTTGTATGGACTTACAAAATCTATCATAACAAAATCATCATGGATATTCCCACTGCTGCTGCCACTGGAACCAACTGAGTGTAGGCTACCTTGTAAGGGAGACTCTGTGTCTGGAGAATCAGGAGGATTTACCTGTTGAAGAAATTCAAATGTCTAATTAACACAATCAAGTCCTGATGTGCAAAATTAAGCAAAAACAAGAAGTTATCTTTGCAGACAGAAATTATAAGCATGCCTGGCATTCAGGAGCCACAATTCTGACAACAATTGTATAGAACTGAGAAAGGTAAGCAGTTCTTACCATGGGATCGTTATCTTCTAGTTCAAAGCTCTTGGGAGCAAACATTTGAAAAGGAATGTCCAAACTGGCCATTGTCACCTAAAGAGGTTCAAAAGACAGAATCTCAAATGTCTCCTGACAAATCCTACTGTTTCTGCCAGGATGCAATATATTGCTGCAAATTTTCATGCCTACAGCCCTAAAACTGGTCAGGACAAGTTTGGAGATTAGAGAAAGCCAAACACAGCCATCTGGAATGGCATTTCTCCTGTGTGATGGGAAAGGTCATTCCTTGTGTTTCCCTTCTGAAGCCATATGCAAGCAGTGAATTAAAGCAATTACCTGGCTGATGGGCTTGTTGACAAAGGCTCCCACCTTTCGAACAAAGAAGGTCTCCAAGGCATCACGTGGAGACCCGCTCTTTCCTTCACTGCTGTTCGATACAGTTTCTGGATCCTCACTGGACGTTGAAAGAGAAAGAGGCTGTAGTTATTATTATTACACTAGAGATATACAACCACTGGTACAAAGCACTACATACAAAGTACATATTTTTCCTAATTATCTTTTCTAGCTTTTTACTAAAGTTATACATAATACTTACCACAGAATTAAAACTTAGATTTTAAAGGTGTTCTGGGTACTCAACCAATGACATAGTTTTTATCTGAAACAATTATGCTTTATCTTCTAGCATCAGTCTACTCATTACACACACAAATACACAGGTTTCCTCAACATTGACTTGTTGTTATCAGCAGAAATAAACTAACGCAACATTTTAAAAATTGAGGTAGTGTAGTTAGGATTAAGACAGCTTCCCCCCCCCCAAAGTATTTTTTCAAAGAATGGAGAGATCTCCAAAGGGAAGAGGCAGGGTCTAAAGGTTTTGTTCCTTTTCTGGCACTTAGTGGCATTGGCATAATCTAACAAGAATGAGTTTTAACAATTAATATTGTTGGAGTCTGAGAATTATGCTAACTTCCCATGTGGGTGCTACTTACAGGAAATGTAGAAGAAAACTGAAAAGAAAAAAAGAAAATTCCTAGAAAAAGTTAGGAACTTCAAAGGGTGATGTTAAGCCTTTCTTCCAAAGCTACTAATCCACACAACAAATTCCATTAATTCTCAAGCAAATTCAATTTTGCTCTGTAAAAGTCATAAAATAGACCGTTAAGGAAAGTTAAATACCTACCTACTCGATGGAGTAACTGCTGAATAATGGCCTCCGTCCAGGGGAGTGCATGTCATTATTTTCTCATGATCTGCCTGGGTGCCATGCATCGGTTGGCTAGGAATCAGGGGCACTCCTCCCTCCTTTCCTGGAACTACCAACTGGAAAGTACAAAGATCAAACTTGTTATTTTTGAAGTCATTCGGGAAAAGAGGGTTTGTTTTTCAATTAAAAGTTATGGAATCGATGACATATTTTGGCTACTATGGAAGAAGCAGTGTGCCTTGTTTTTCAAGAACTTGAATGATTTCTACCAATAGGCAAAGGCTGAGGAAGAATTTCAGTCCAATTTATAGGAAAGTATAGAGGGAGAAGAATTAAAGTAGATCTAAATCAGGCATGTCAAACTCGCGACATCATGTGATGTCGCACGACGTATCGGAGCTTTTTCGCCATTGCCGGCAATGGGGTGGGCCTGGCTCCGGTATGATGAAACCGGCCCACGGGCCGGCAGTTTGACACCCCTAATCTAAATGGAAGACAACGACTTGAACAATTGACAGCTGCCCTGAATTCCCTGTAGCAGTTTTTACTCTTTTTTTGGCTTACTGTCAGAGAATATTCAAACTTTCTTAGCAAGCAGAACTGAGCTGTTTCTGAGAGTATACCTTAAAAGTAAGATACTTTGCACCAGAGCAACATTTTAATGAGAATACCTTGTAATACTTATAAATTTTATTCAATGCACATGGATTTAGACCTTGCCCCATTTTCATGGTCATATAAAACATCCAGCTATAGTCACACTGTATTAAATATGACTACAGTAGATGTGTCTTCCACTTTTTCGAGCATCATATAAAATAATCCACACTTCTAAAAGTTAAGCAAAGAAGGAATGATCAACGTTCCATAAGGTGTTTGTCAAGTATCCAAGAAGAAATGAAATTCTGTAATTCTGAGATGCAAATCAAGAATGATAGATTCAGATGCAATTGATATCAGAAAAAAACCAGAAGTTCTCACTTTAGTGCAATAACATATATATGAGTAAATCTGAACTGCATATTAATTTTCTAGGTCAGGGGTGTCAAACTGCCGGCCCACGGGCCGGATGTGTCACACGGAAGCCGCGCCCACCCCATTGCCGGCAATGGCAAAACTGTCCCGATAAGTTGCGCGACGTCACATGACGTCGCGAGTTTGACATGCCTGCTCTAGGTCTCACTTTAAAAAGAATGCTCATTAAAGTCTTATTTCATGGGAATCCCCAAAACAATGTTAGTGTTCTTTGTTTTTTCCAACTATTCTCCTGTTTTCTTTGCCAATATGGGACAAATAGAATAAGTTCAGAAAAAGTGTTAGCTGTCAATGAGATACATTTTAGAGCAGCAAACCTCTAAGAGTACCTGATGGGGATGTGTAGCACTCAAGCCGCCAGCAAAGACTACTGGGTAGCCCAAGTCAGCTGATCCAACTCCCAAGGCTGCAGGCTGATAAGAAAGACGAGAGCTGGAGAGCTAAGAAATAGGGGTGGTGAGGAAAAAGAAGAGAAAGGGAAACCCCAGAGTCTGAATCATGTTTAGATATACAGGAAAGGAAAGGAAAGGAAATCAGGTTTCCAAAATAAAATGGCTAGTCTGTTTCTAATACCCTCTCTCACACACACAAAAAAGTTAAGCTGGTTTCCATGGAACTTATGACTGATATTCAGGATTTTTAAGGGCTAATTAAAGAAATGACCTTTATATAGTTTG